TGATTGCCGGATGGAGATGACTTTATAAGGATGGCCAGACCTAAAATCGTTTTCCATGGTTTGAGGGTCTAATTTCCAAATATAAAAGGTCTAAGGGAGATTGTGGGAAAAAGTGATTGCCGGATGGAGATGACTTTATAAGGATGGCCAGACCTAAAATCGTTTTCCATGGTTTGAGGGTCTAATTTCCAAATATAAAAGGTCTAAGGGAGATTGTGGGAAAAAGAAAGTTCATTACACCCGGGAAGACCATTATGCCCTTCCTATTTGTTAAAATATCAATGCAATTTTTTAGGGATGGTCCCTAGGAACCAGAGGTCCCTCTAAAAATGATTGCCGGATGGAGATGACTTTATAAGGATGGCCAGACCTAAAATCGTTTTCCATGGTTTGAGGGTCTAATTTCCAAATATAAAAGGTCTAAGGGAGATTGTGGGAAAAAGAAAGTTCATTACACCCGGGAAGACCATTATGCCCTTCCTATTTGTTAAAATATCAATGCAATTTTTTAGGGATGGTCCCTAGGAACCAGAGGTCCCTCTAAAAACAGGACAAATTTTGAAAACCAATTCATTTCCAAACTTGTTCATAAAAAACGACCTATTTGAAACTTATTTGTCAAAAACAACTCAGTTTCAGGTTACTAGTTGAAACTTAGTCGTTTTTGGCGAAAAATAATAATAAACTTCACGGAACTTCAAGTAACAAAACTTCACGGGACTTCAAGTCCCGTGAAGTTTGGTATTTTTTTGGGCAAAAAATGACCAAGTTTCAACCAGTTAAAACGACCCAGTTTCAGCCAGTTGGCTGAACTAGGTTGCTTTTGGCACATAAGTTTCAGCCAAAATCTCTCGCCTTCCAATCGTCTTCCAAATAGTGGTAGATGGTGCGCCACCTTATTATTTGCACGGTGAGGAGCATGTGAAATCTCTGGCCATGAACATACCATCCAGAGCTCGAACTATTCTTCAAACACCGTCCCTAACCATGAAACACTCTCTGAATAACTACCAAGCGATCTGATTTAATCATTGAATTTGTGATATGTGCCTCCTTTGCTAATTGCAGATTGTTAATGATAGTCAAGACTTCACTGTGTCTCGCTGATACATCTGTAACTGTCAGAATTACAAAAATAAAATAAAATAAAATAAAATAAAATATTCCCATAACCGTCTCGAATCATGTCACCCAAACTGGACAAATTAGGATAGCCATAAAACTCCCATACACATTCAGATTAAACTGCACCAGCCGGCTAGGGTGGCTGCACTCAATTCATCCCATTAGTCTGTCTTCTCAAACCATTACCAAATGAGTGTTGCTACGGGGACCCAAAATATGGGACCAATGGAGGGGACAAGTAAGGTGTCCCCTTCATATTGCATAATGAGTTGGTTGTGCTAACTCATTATGCAATAGGGAGGGGACACCTCACATGTCCCCTCCATTGGTCCCATATTTTGGGTCCTTAAATCATTTTTCTTACCAAATTCTCCTAAATTAGCTCGAAACCGTTGTTCAATAAATGCTCCAGTATGCGAGTCAATACAGTCATTAACTTCCAACCTAATATATTAAACTTTTTCCTTTTATTGATAATTAGCTATGCATTAACCAATTAGTTCTAAAATAATAATAAAGTAGCTAAGGTTCAATGCATTAACGATCTGAAATCTTCCTTTCAAAGGAAACATGTAATAAAATCTTCAACCTAATGAAGCAAAATCATTAGAAAATTGTGAACATTTATATAAAAAAAGGGATGCCCTTCTTTATGTTCCTCATGTAGTTTATCCTCGACATAGAATTACCACTTGTACATTTTTTTTTTCCCACTGAAAATTATTGCAGTGTAGCCATAGCAATATGACTTTAAATAGCAACCACAGATTACATAAAATACTATGTAGAGAAAAACGGGAAAAAAAGCAACTGCAGCAAAATGCATCTAGAACTCGAGAGTTCCACATTGCTTGCTCTCTAAACTTGATTTTTTATTCAAATTCCTCTGATCAATTCCCTTCCTCGTATTGTTGGGACCTTTATTACGGCCAATACCCAGTTTTGGCAAACCCCGATTTAATCCATCCAATAAAACACATGCCTTGCATAATTTCTGCAAGTTGACATGAAAGATAATTAGGTCTCATGCACGTATCAACATTGAGTAAACAACAAATAATAAATATTAAAGGCAATATCATAGGAGAAAAAAAATTATATTATAATATCAGCACATATTTTAAGTTGGTTATTGCAGTGACATGATATTCTGCTTGTACTGATACAACATTGGATACAATATTCTAACTGCAATGATACTGATTATCAATTGATTAAACTTAATTCTGGTAGTGAGCCACAAGTCATGCTCCCCTTTATCCCTATATCATTTTCTATAGTGCGCCATCCACAGGATTTTTCCGTACCATAGGTACGGATGTAATTCTATTTAGAAAATCCACCATAATTTTCTTTATACAAACAGCAGCCACAATCTGCCTTAATGAAAACAGATAGACAACCTCAATGGAAATGATCATAGTTTGTCACCATCCTAATTATCTAATATACTAGTAGCAGTGTATTTAGTTCTTTGCATCATATAAAGAAAATAAAATTTAGCATGATGAAAATAAACCACTTAGAGATACCTGACTAGAAATATAACCACATCGCATGCATGTTCCTTGCTCAGGCATCTTTGTCGACGTTGATATCCTAAAGTTCTCGCCAGATCTGATTATGTCTAGTATAGCTCTTGGTCTAAATCAACATTCATTACATCAGAGAAGCACAAGCAAGATCATCATACAATATAAAAGATTCAGAGATGTGATTTTCACTAACAAGTTAAAAAATCTACCTGATGCATTCCAGATCTTTTACGAATTCTCGAGCAAAGCCACGGTATGCATTAGGCGAATAAATACCTGAATTGAGGCAACAGACTGGTGAATGTGAAAAGTAAGGAGTTCGCTTAATTGAAAAGGTCAAAAAGTATCAGGAGGTACAATAACACATAAAGAACACAAGGCCCTCAACAAGGTCAAGACCATCCAATAAAGGGGAAAGGATGACCAAAAATAAATGGTTACACGCAGAAAAGGGGATACATATTAATGCACTAACAAAACCTAAAAGGATATAGAAGTTCATTCTGAAAGCTCAAGGGTAATTTGTTATGGATTGAACATAAAGGATAACATTTAAGGATTCCTCCTGGCAGTAGACCTCTACATAAATCTGTCATGTTCAAGAGCACGAGCTAATGTACCTGAAATAGATAGTTCTTTAACAATTTACAAAAAACTTAAGAATGATAAATAGAGTATTCGGAGAGAAGAACTTTCTCATTTAGCAGATTGCAGTCTATGTACTCCCAAGTTAAGCATAATCTTTTCAAACAGACTGATGTAAAAGTAAATGTAATGTAAAAAAAGGTTTAGCCAAATATGAACACTTACATTCTGTGGAAAAGTAGTCAAGCTTTTTGAAATATGCATACGTGACATACTGTTAAGTTCACACATTTGACAAAATCTGATTTGATCAAGAAAGTAAGTAAAAGATGCAGTTATAGAATAGGTAAAAATGACAAGGATATATAACAATCTCTTTCTCATAAGTGTACTTGAATGGCTTGCATCTTGGAATTGGTCCATCCTCACCCGTAGTTATTAAGGTACATCTACCCAATCTACAAGATAAACAATAAAACCTAGTTATACAACAAAACTGAATAGGAAAACTACAACAGGAAAAAAAAGGCTATTAACGGCAACTTCACCTTGCAATGTCACCCCGTAATATATTTAAGATAACAGTCTCAGCAATATCATCTGCATTATGCCCAGTAACAATCTTCTCTGCTTTCATATATGCAGCACCCCTGTCTAAAGCCTGCAACAAGTACATCATATTGTAATAAGTAAAAAAGGTAAGAACAAACGGCAGTTTTAGCAGAACAGAAGCCTATGAACCAGAAAATGCAGAGATTAGCAGTATTAGGCACGGAGACAAAATAAAATAATAAAAAATATATAAAAATAAAGTTCTATCATATTACTTGTGAGCAGAAACATCCATTAATAAAGAAAGGTAATGTAAGATCCAAATACTCACATTATAAGCAAGAAATTTTCCTCGTGCAAATAATGAATGCAGGGATCCTGTTAATTAGTATTCCAATTCTCTTATCAAGTAAATACTGATCTTATAAATAAGTATTCTGATGTTTTAACCGCAAGGACGCTTAAGGGTTTAAGTGATTTCAGAAATTTAACAAAGGGTGCCAAGGAACAGAACCTTGGTTGTTGATGTGAGGTATGCTTTCAACTTATGACAAAATATGTATCAACTAAGTAAGCACAAAGAAAGGGTAGATTCAGGGTTGGAAAGGAGTAGAATCTTATATATCTCGATCGATCTCGATCTAGAGAGAGAGAGAGAGAGAGAGAGAGAGAGAGAAATCATATTATGAGCTCAGTAATCATATTATGAGCTGAGAGAGAGAGAGAAATCATATTATGAGCTCAGTAATCATATTATGAGCTGGTGAGCTCAAATGTTATCATGAGCTAGGCTAATTGGATCGAATTCATGATCGGCACTATACATCTTGTTCAAAACATCACCAAATGGATATGGTGAAACTTTCACATAGTTTAGTGTCTTCTAGAATGCCAATCAAATTGGTTTAATATGTTATTTTTCAAACAGTTTCACCAAATAGATATGGTGAAACTTTTGCATAGTTTAGAGTCTTCTAGAATGCCAATCAAACTGGTTTAATATGTTCATTTTTCAAACAGCTTAGTAGCGATTCATTTTTAACTTAGGTAAAATAATGATTAAAGATTTTCTAGACAATAAATTTTTTTATATAGATCATATAGATTGCAAATCAAGATGGGTTGATTGGGCTAGCTCATGATAAAAATCTCATTTCACCATCTCATTTAATCATTTTCATATATATGTATATGTATATATACACTATTATAAATAGCGGTAAATAACACCGTAATAGCGACGCTAATAGCGTTAGCGGTCCCTTCCCGCTACGCTATCGCCCAATATCGGTGACATATTGCGGAGTATGCATTTTCTGTTGCATGTCACAGTGGTGAATAGCGGGCGATTACGGGCAAAATCCGTTTTTTGACCGCTATGTAAAAGCAGTTTGAGGTTTATTTTTTCAAAATTAACCCAACCTGCAATTTTCGATGTATTCCCGCCGCCTTCAGCCTCCGGCACCTCCTTCAACACATCCTCTCACCTTCTCTTGTCGTGAGCTCCTCCTACTGCAATCCTCTTATCGCTCAGCTCCTATTCTGGAGGAATTTTTAGCTCCTCCTCTAGTCATCTCCCCTATTATGTGATAGTTACTTGTTTATTTTATATTTTGATCTTTTTAAATCATCAAATATGCAATTTTAGATTTTTTAGAATTTTCCTTGATTTTTTTTATTCTTTTGAATATTTACACGTATCTAAATTAGACTGCTATTTGACTTTGCACTTTTTACCACTATTTTGCCGCAATAGCTCTAAATAGCCTTAGCGATGCATCACCACTACATGACGCTATCGATAACATTGTCTTCTCTTCTCTCTCTTACTATATATATATATATATATATATATATATATATATATAAAGGAGAGAGAAAGTAAGACTCCTATCAACTTAAGTTGATGTCCACCAAACTTCCTAGCCACTCATTTATTAATTATAAAACCTTTTCATATCATGCAAGGATCTCTAGGCAATATGAGTGCTAAAAGGCTAAAAGTTTGGTGGATAACTTTTTGCTATCCACTTAAGTTACACAAGTTTTGCTCTCTCTCTCTCTCTCTCTCTCTCTCTCCTCTCTCTCTCTCTCTATATATATATATATATATATATATATATATATAATAATATATATATATATATATATATATATATATATATATATATATATATATATATATATATATATATATATGTGTGTGTGTGTGTGTGTGTGTGTGTGTAAGTTTAAATGAGATTTGATATACTCTGTTGATCATCGTACAGGTAGCCGATTGGGCTAGCTCACGATAAAAGTCTCATCTCACCATCTCATTTTTATCATTTTCACACACACTGATGTATATATATATTATATATATATATTATATACATTTTTTATGCGATCTTGGTTTACTTTATCTTGTTTATATAATTTATTAGTTTAAAATTTCTTTTTAATATTCGGGACGTTTCCCTTCCTATGAACTTCACATTCGTATTCGAACAAGAATATCCTTCAAATAGTAAACATTATTTATTTAATACATATTCTGTAGTTTATAAAAATAAAACTAATCAATTAAGAAGAATTTTTAATTTGGCTAAAGAGATGCTTTCTTTTGGCTAAAGAATTTAATTTTGTTAAACAGTAATTGAATCTATGTTATATGGGTACGTCTATCAGGAAGCCATTCTCGTACCCAACACGTATCCGTACCCGTGCCCAAAACTCTTAGACACTTCATGAGTATGGATATGTCTATTTTAACCTATACTCAATTATATAATATATATTTTAATTTAAAATACTCATACATTTCATGGATATATATTCTACACTTCACATCTATTTCTTATATATTAGTCTTATGTGAATGAAAAAACAATATTAATCTTATGTAAATTACCAATTTTACTACATATAAATATAAATAACATGCTGATGTGAAACAATGTGTATGCAAGTATGGATAACAGCGATAATAATGCTTCACCAAATCAGCGATCGATCTAGGTAGGAAGCTCGAGAACAAAGTGAAGCTCCAAATGGTTTTTAAACAAAAGTTATAAATGTACTAAGTTTAGACCTTTGTAAATTATTCAGATAATAAATGTAATGATTTGTTCTCTTAATAAGGTTCGACTCGTAATATATAGATTTGCAGATATACTTGGGAACGGAATCACTCGCTCACTAAATCAAACAGAATACAACACAATCGTAATTGATATTAATATTGATAGTAATATGCATGCAATAGCGGTTCCGAAAATACTGGGTCGAAAGAAAACTAAACCTTCGTCGGGTTGAACTGGTTCGACGTGATGGACCTCTAGAGGCGGTGTAACGATACCAAATCTGAGTGACAGGAGTTCTCCTCCGAGAGCTACGTAACTGGGATGAAGCGGCGTGTCTGGATAGAAACGTCGGTGCCACGAACTAATCCCCAAGAGACTATCCACGCTCTCGGCAATCTGAGGAGTCACGCGCTCAATGTACTGGCTACGATCTCGAACGGCTGATAATCGAACCACTGAGAGAGCTGTAAATCAATCACGCCGGTCTCTGGATCGTACACGAACTGGGCGTCTTCGGCTTTAGGATCGATCATGCACTAATGGGCCACGGAGTCAGGGTTCGAAGCGGATTCGAATCGGGCTCGAACTGAACTCCAAACAGATCTGAACAAGTGAGAGTTGGATCTGAGCTAAAAAATCAGATCCAACTGACTAGTGTCGGGTCTGATCAAGTGGGTCTGATCCAAGTGAACCAAGTCAGGTCTGATCAAAATAGATCAGATCCAAGTAAACCGGGTCGGTCTGACCAAAACTAGATCAGATCCAAGTGAGCTTCTGTGTTGTCTTCGATCTGAGGGAAAGAAGGACGATGCTGTTGCTCGGAGGGCGGAAGAACCAGACGACGATCTTCGGTGGCTGAGGACGACTTTGTGGAGGGTGCGGGGAGGAAGATGGCAGCTAGGGTTTCACACCTCTAGGCCATACGGTTTCACACCAAATATTCAGGTAATCACAATTATTTTCTTTTAAAAATTTTGTCATCGATCACAAATATGATTACAGCAACGTTTAAATAGAAAAGAAAATTTACAGATTTGGAAGATTCCCTAAATCACTCAACTACTAAATCAAAATCAAAATTCAATTGTCAAATTAACTACTAAAACTGAAATAACTAATAAACTAAAAATCAAAACCACATAGAAGGGAATCGATGCACAACTGAAATACAGTGTCTCATGCGCTGATAAACACATCGAAAATTACGTGCTCGTGCACGTGCCTAGATGTCCGCATCATTCTCCCCAGGTAGGAGAGAACTCGACTCCGTCGAGTGCAAGTCAGGATAGCTGTCATACTGCTCAAGAATATCTGGATCAAACCTCTGTAAATCACCTCGATCGAGCCAAGTATCATCAGACTTAGGTCAACCTTTCCAACGGACTAAGTACCTATGGGTACCACCATCGCTAGTAGAAATAATGTTATCATCAATAATATTATCAATGTCATGCTATATATGGGGGTGATATCTGGGGAAGTGGAGGTAAATGGGAGCTCTTAGAAATAGACTTAGGGGTAGGTTCATCAACCAGTGGGTTGTCAGGGTTAAAATATGGGCCTTTGTACTCTACTAAATCCTTAATATTAAAAGTCGAACCAATATTAAAACATTCAGGAAGGTCGAGAACATAAGCATTATCATTAATTTTCTTGAGAATTTTGAAAGGCCCTGCACTTCTTGTATGCAACTTTTTAACAGTTCCCGGAGGAAACCGTTCCAGACGTATCCGGACCTTCACATAGTCACCAACACTAAATTCTTTGAACCTACTTAGATTTGCTCGCATTTTATAGTTGGCATTGCTATCGTTGATCTTTTTACTGATATCCTTATGCAAGTCATGAATGTGAGATGCAAATGCAGATGCTGACTCAGATATTCTATAATGTGCAGACACAGGGACAAGATCTATAGGCTGTCTAGGCTTGTAACCATACACGACTTCAGTTGGACTGACATGTGTAGACCTATTTACGGAGTTATTATAAGCAAATTCAGCAGTAGGCAGATGTTGATCTTAATCCCTAAGATTCTCACCAA